TCTACTAACCTTTTAGTAAATGTGCTAAATGCTAGTAATGGTACTACTGTAGTTGTACCTCACATTTGATTTGGTCAAGCTGTATAGTGGTTAAAAACACATTTTCCTACAGTAAAAGAGGAACTTCGTGATTTGATGTATGGAACAATTAGAAAAGGAGATATGACTATAAATAAATTATATAAAAAAATATTACGAATAGGTAGATGAGCTAACTATTGACCTAAAAAATTACGTAGAAAGTTCTTAAATACTTTTCCATTCCCGTGACTTAAAAAAGCTGAGGATATCAGAGAACATTTGCCTTTAGATGAATTAGCTAAAAAGCTTTACGAGATAGAATTACGCTGAATAGCTAGGCAAAAAAGAGATAAAATATCAGATCTGCTAGTATCTAATCTAGCATCTTGGCAAATATATGAATCTTCACCTATTTCAACTCTACAACAGCAAGGGATTTCCTTGGCAGATATACAAAAAATATTTCAAGAAGCATAGGCACAGCAAAAAACTGAAAACCAGGCATTAATAAAGAAAATTACTGAATTAGAATTTCAAATGGCTTAGTAAACGCAAATATCTACTTCTCAAACTGTTGAACCTATTGAACCTGTTAGACAGTCTAGAGGTTTATCATCTTCATTGAAAACAGAGGAAGGTCTCAAGAATTATTATGTAGCCGAATACTTAAAAGAAGTAGGTCTACTTAATAAGGAAGATTTAGACTCAGATTATTCTGTAAAACCTTTTCAAAGATCTCGTTTACAGTGAAACAATAATTCTGCTAGATTTGATAAGATTGAAAAAGGACTTGAAGAAACTCAGAATAATGTAAATCAATTAGCTGATCTATTTCAGAAGAAAGCATACATACGAAAATGTGGAATTTGTGAAGAAACAGACTATAGTAAAGAAAGTTATCCAAAAAGACTGATAGTTTAATCTAATTTTACTCAGTTATATTTTACGCCTCTTAAACTAATAGTTCCTCCTGATTCAGATGGTGAGAAAAATGATGGGATAAGAACAATAATAAATGGACTGGATATGACCTACTAATAAAAAAAACAGGTAATGTTAAGTTAGCCAGTAATACTAATGCAATCTCACCTCTAAAATCTAGCCAACCTAAAATATACGATCAGCTATTTTCTAAGCTCTCACCACCAATATGAAAAATGTGCCTATCTTGAAAGACTCAGGAGGAAGAATCGAAAGAATCAGATGAGTGGTTATCATCTTTACAATATTTGAATACTAATATAAATGATTTAGCTATTTTTGAATCTTTTTTAGATACCGGCAGTGAGTTAGGTAGTTTAAATAATCCAGCAATCAAGACGCTTAGATGGAAGGCTGATAAACTATTTAATTTTACCATAAAGAATAATTTCAAGCATATTACCGATTCATTAGAATGGTATACAGATGTGTCAGTTATCTTGAAGGATAAAGAAAATAGACGGTCACAGTTATTGAAAAATTTGTTCGTATTGATAATGGTGAAACAGAACCAATGCTATTTTTTGGTATATCAAATATTCGAAAGCTTCAAGGCGTTCCTGAGTTAAATAAAAACCAGTTTCACATAAAGTTACATGAAAAGGTATATATTATCCTAATTTTTAGCAAGGCTCCAGTAGTCAAGAATCTACCAAAAGAAGATCAAAACCAAGCATCTATTAATTCTTCTAGCCCAAATAATAAGAAAATCTTAAAAAAAAGTGTGTAAAGCTTGAAGAGCAACTATTAAAAACTGAGAGATGGCTTGATATGGCATTAAATGCAGGTAATATTCTTGCAGAAAAATGCTTAACACTTATGGAGAATATATCAGATGCATAACAGCTTCTCTAGTAATATTTACTAATTTATTAAAATCAAATTCCCATCTAGATATATCATCTTTAAAAAAATTGACTACTTTATCTGCAGAAGAAGATTTGTCTTTTGGCTTTATACTAGCTTTTTTTCTGACTAACTTTATCTTTTCACCCACTAGTTACTGTATTCAGACCATTAAAATTTACATTATTCTCATTATCCATAGAGTATTCTGTATGAGTGATCTATAAGGGAGACCGTCCAAAATAAGGAAAACGGTTACACAATTTATTAAATTTTTTTTTTATACAGTATATAATACTTTTTGAGGGATCATCCATCTGCCATTTCATCAAATGAAACGTGGGTAATATTTCTAAGTAAATTTGAAGCTTTCTTACCGTATTATTATAATATATATTGAATCCTTTTGAATCCCACAACCTTTATATTACTATTAACTGTTTAAAAACATGTCCGAGAGTAAGCATTGTATAGAATGCCAAGCCACCAAGTCGATCAAATTCCATTCGTTAAAGGGAGAAAAATGGAGAGAAGCCATAAAGAATAATTTAATAAAGGTAAGTTAGGTGGAGGGTAGTATTTTTTGTAATATTTGTTACATGCAGCTTGTAGAAAACCCTTTAAAGAGAGGTACTAAGAGAGCAAAAGTCGCAAACGAAGAAGCTATGAACGAAAATGTCTTGAATGTAGTTGAGAAAGAGGCAAGTACGAACATTGACCTCACTCGAGCTATCAAAGCGATGGCAAAAATCCTTTACGAAAGAGAGCATATAAAGAAGGAAGTTCCTATTTACGTATTTGACGAAATGCGAAGCATACTTCAGGAAATCGAACTGAACTTGACTAATTTTTTTGATCAACTTTATTCAGCGGCTCGACCACTTGAACGCAATGAACAAACAATGGATCATATGAAGAGATTAATGGTGCTCATATGCTATCTTCTTGCTTCATTGAATAATACTAAAATTAATTGTTTTAAGATCGATCTTGCATACTACTTAGATTCAGTGAATACGAGTAATGAAGGCCTGAACACGATGGCAAACCTTGGCGTATCCATCACAGCAAGAACAGTAGATCATAGAAAGAAGAAGATGTTAGATACACATAGGGATATGTTGAGAACTCTCTTGAAAAAGATTCAGAAAACGCCTTTATATTGAATGTCGACGATTATCACAATATTCATGTTCAAAGACAAGCTGATACTACTAACACGTCTTGGGCAGCCCACATGACCATGATCTTAGCTAATCCATGTTTTACATCAGCGATTCTACGTAGCGGAGCAATCAATTCGAAGATCATTGATGACGAATTGATTTCAAGGCATATTGATAGGTGATTCATTGTAAACCTTGGTATTCCTTATCATGATCATATACGAGACTATATGGTAATGAGATTTTGATGGATAGACCAACGATATACAGTTATAATGACCGGCTGACGGAGAAAAGGAATAATCATCATATACAAAACGCAATTCTTATTGACTTCGTCGAAAATAATTTGAAAAGCGTAAAAGATTATATGAAAGCTCTTCAAATTGTGAATGATCAACAACCAATGCAAGAGTATTTATCTAACTATATAATTCCCATTATTGCGGACTGGTCTGGTCAGTTATTTATTCGAAAAGCTATTGCACATCGACTTCTCCTCAACGACGAAACCATTCCCCCATTTGTTACATCGTTTCTCCCTATTATGGGCCCTCTTTATGTATCCTTGAATTTCCGCAAGCTTGTTTTTGTAAAAAATTCATTTTTATTTAACGATCTTTACAAAAACATATTAAGAACACGTAAGATTCTTAGTGAAAGGCCACAACTATGGAGAATCGATCTAATTCTCTATATCGTGCGCATGGCATAGTTTGATATTGTTGATACCGTTTATTTGAAGTTTGGTAACACATGTAAAAATATAGAATTTTTATATCTAATCGATTTACTAAGCAATTTGATTCCTTTAGTTCTCGATATCTACGCGGTGCATCATCGAGAAGGCAATTGGCTGGCCTATGAAGAATTTTGCATGCGTTGTTGAAGCGATCTATTCCTTCAGTTTGATCTAAGGAATTACAAACGTGCTTCATTAATATTTTTTCAGATATTTTCTATTGGATGGAGATTAATCATCTGATGATAGGCATGTTTACTAATCATCTTGCATCACTTAGTGATTGCCCTGTAGAAATTGCTCACAGTATTATCTGACGATGCATCGCTAAATTTTCCACATCTGAACAATTGCAAAAAGAGGCACGCTTTATTTTTCAACATCGATAGGATAATGATTTTCAACAGCATTTTGTAGATTCCGTAAAATATCCATATCAACCAAAGTAATTACGAATGCTTTCTCAAAAGTGCACGATATTGCTTTTAAACGCATTTACGAAGATATATCATGTGTGTCATCAGTATCCTTTTATTAAATTTTCATCTAAAGACGGTATTAACACCTACAAATTGCCTTCATTAGATTATGAAATAACCGATCACCACCTTCTAAGAGGCTTTGTCACTTCCAGAAAACTAAATACGGCTATTTTATGTGACTATGTGTATTGTAATTCTACTAACGATTCGCTTAATGGTAGCGTTCTAGCGTGTGGGCATGGTTACCATGGTTTATGCTTGCAAAGATGCCAGTTTAAATATTTAATATGTATGGATTACCTTCAAGGCGAAGTTAAAAAAAATGTTGATGCTCAGATGACAAGTTTTTTGAAGACGAAACCAAGTTTAGAAGAATTCATTCGAGAAGATAGTGAAACTGAAATCAAAAATGATTTGGATGATGCGAAAGAGACAACGGACGATGATTTAGCAATGGAGGATTTATTAGAAAGTGCAAAGAAATCATTTATAAAATTATAATTTTATTTTTTATTTTTAAATAAAGTCAATTAATCTTATAAGATTGGGCGTCTTATTTAACTATTAATAATTTATGCTTTTGTGATATAATTTTACTGATTTATGTAACTCGCATCAGTTACAATAGTATTTTTTATTTGGCGTCACGTGATAGAATTCACGATTTTGATTGGTTGACAAATATGGAAATTTGTGTAATAGAGGACGGTCTCCCTTGGATATATACACTGAAATAATTTTTTATGTATTTATACAACTTAAATGAAAACTTTGAGAAACATTCCTGTAAGTCCGGAATCGCTAATTTTTTTGCTGTTATAATTTATGAAAAATTTTCTAAACCTTTGTGCAATTGCAAGAGTTAATCAGCATTGACTCAATTATTGAGCAGGATACCTCGAGAAGGTTGCAATAATCTGAAATCTCCACTTATGATAGTCGAAATGATTGCAAATAAATCAGATCGTAAACGTATTGCAAATTCTCTTAACTGTAAACTCGAAGGCAGAGATCTTTCTAGTTGTATTTGTTATATAGAACAAGTTAAAAAGTATTATGATTTTGATCATATCATTATCATTGGAGAACTTCATGCTGGAATTCTTTTTTTGGACTGCTACGGCCGTGTGTTCATATGAGACTCAATGTGTTATGTTTTATAGATGCTTGGGGATTATTGGAACAAAGCAACAAAGACTAGCCAAACAGAGTGGGGTTTAGAGATCGATTGGACTGTTGTTAAATTTAAAGAATTTATGAATGGTATGTGGAGATTTTATTCATTCCCTTTTTTATCTTAATTCTTACAATTAGTTTCTTTCTCCTAGATTCACCAAGTGAACTAACCTTTAACAATCCCGTCACAAAAATGATTGATGTTTACCCTGTTGCAAAGAAGAAAAAGAATTCAAAAAAAAAGAACTCGAAAAAGAAACATTGATCCGTAGTGTTTTGATAAAGTATGATGTGTTCTCAATTTCGATTTATGTTTGCTATTAATATTACTCATGTAAACAAATAATTAGTGGTCATAAATATACATAGCACAAGACAAATTTACTGTACTTTGTGTAATCTGCAGGTGTAGATAATAAAGATTTTTCATTTTCTGCTTTTTATACAAAATATGGCCATTTTTGATTTTTTATTTATAAAGTAGTATGACACTAATGTCACGGCCTCTTAGAGCCAAAATCATAAAGTTTCTGGTTTTTATTCTACTATATGACTCTGTTCCAAAACTTTGCCAGATCTCATTGGTTTAGCTGTAACATTAATGTCACACTTCTCCTAATAAGATTTCAAATAAGAATCCATATGACTAAATTAGCCGAACATGTGCATTTTATTTTCAGCTATCCGGCTAAAGAAAAAATCCGAAATCTAATTGGCCGATCATCTCGTGATTTATAGAAACTCAGTGATACATGTGATATGATATATGTTATGCCACAAACTGATTTAGCCAGGCGCCGTGCATAATGAATCTGATATTTTATTATAATATAGTTGTTATAAACTGTTATAAATCACTATAAATCGATAAAAAACAGTGAAATTGCTAAAATAACTAAAAACACTATAAAATCGTTATAATCTGTTATAATCTACTAAAACACTATTATGGATTTAGATAGTAGAACCTATTCTAAGTTAATTGATGCAAACAATACTTATGGAAGCTCTGAAGAATATATAAGAATACTTGATGCAATATTGCCTTTAACAAAAAGATGTGATCACAAAACATCAGAAATGTGATGCTCCCATATCTGTGATCCATTTAGAAAAATACTTGAAGAGAATCCAAGAATCCTTTCTAAGAATGGATATATTATAATGTATGGAAAGCTTTATGAAAATGATAAAATTCACAATGGTTATCCAACTGATTATATTTATTGTACTGTATGTTTTCATATCTAGAAATAGCTATAACCCTTATATCTATTATGATAGCCATTTGAAGAGATGTATTTCTGAAAATACTATTTCGAATGAATATGCAAGAAAAAATGAAATTCTTAAATCTATTAATAGAAGGAAATTTCAGATCTAGCAATATAAATAATACATATTACAAGAAGAGGCTAAAATTAATCGTCTTCGTCTAGAGCTTTTCTCTCAATCTACTTCACACTCAGAAAAGAATAAGTTAGCATCGATATCATATGATCATGATAGGAATTTTACGGCTAGCTATAAAAATTATATACAATTTAAAGCAACTGTAGCAAAAAATACTATATCAAATGCTTTAAAATTTGAGCCAGTTTGTATTTTACCTGCCAGGTAAGAAATGATTTCACTAACTTCTTATCAATTATTGGATCCCAAAGGAACCACAAGCGAAATATTTATCTTATCTCAGTATGCAAAACAAAATAACTTATTACCATTTACAAAAAACACTGTGCTAAAATTAAAAGATGAAATAAAAGTTATGATTATTTAACCAGTTTGATGACTGATTTAGAGAAATATTTTAATTATAGTAATTTATCTCAACTATATTTATAAATTATTTTTTTTGTGACTACATAATCTACATATAATGAAATTGGCCAAAGGTGTCTTGCATGAAATGTATTACCTGTAAATACTATGCATAATCTGCCTATTCTGGATTAGATCTTCTAATCTATTTTAATAAAGTATTTTTTTTGAGTTCAGGAAGATCAATGAAGTGATCTTGGAGATTCTTAATTGCGAGACAATATAACTATCAGTTTGAGAATTTTTATGCAACAGTTATTCAGCAAGCTTATAGGAATTACAAGAAAAACTTAAATCTTTGGCAAAACGAGTTTAGGAGACAGTGAGAAATGATAGTACTCCTGATGATATTATTAACGTATAATTCTTGTGAACTACAACTGTTAGACAGAGTGTTCAAGCGGTTTATTCTTTTAAATTGAGCAGTAATCTTTCAACAATTAACGAGTTTTATTTCAAACTATTTATCAAAAGTACTTATACTATTACGTCGAACAGTAATTCAACAGATCGCCAATGATTTGTAATTGTAAAATAATATATTTATTCACAAGTAAAATAATAAAAATAAAAGAAAAGAAATAAAAGGGAATAAAAAAATAGAATAAGAAAAGAAAAGAAATGAATTACTAAAATTAAATGTAATGCGGTAGGCCAGTTGCCTCTAAAACTACTAAAACTAACTTGTCGAATTCCTATCTATCTGTCCTTTTACATGAACTAAAAAGCTACCTATTTATATAAAATAAATTACATAGAGAGATATAACTAATATATCTACTATATCAACTATGTTTAATATATCAACTATGTCTAATATGTTAATTATATCTAATATGTCAGTTATGCCACATATGTCTGATATATCATATATATAACTTATATCACATTCATCGATCTTTTGCATCACATAAACTACGTCACATTTACCCGTTTATAATATGAAGTTTTTAAATATAAAAAATGAAGGATATAATCCTTTAGGATAAATTTGGCATGAGGAATATTACTTTTCAGTGAAAAATGGTTAGATATATGAGAAAAGAGCCCAATTATGATAATAATTATCTTTTGCAATATTCATACTTATTAAGAAATTATTATATCAGCAAGGCTATATAGTTGTTAGAGATACATATTGACTTGACATGTTAAAATTGCTATGGAATTCCAGATATTATAGTATTTATAAAAAGTATAATTTTGTATACTTTATCAGAATTTTAGAATACGAGACATATAAGATTAAATTATCAGAAATGAAACCTATATGCGATTTGCTATTAAAATACATATATCATATTTACGAGAAGGATATTACTGTGAATTTCACAGACTTAGATGATAATTGTGAGTTTATGCGCTGAATTTTCTAGATCAGACCTTAACCCAAATCCCAAATATTGTACTAATAAAATAATATATTGTCCAACTATGCGAAGCGCCTTATAGTCAATGTATATAGGTATGTGCGATATAAATTAGCATGTTTTTGATCCTCGTTAAAGTATATATGATGTAATAAGTGATATATCGCAAATTATTTGTAACTCTGTGTGACTGCTTGTGCGACAAATTAATTTTCACACATAAGAAATCAATCTTCAAAAAATATTTTAAATTTTTTTCTTATCTATCTGAATAGCATTTATTTATGAGTTTATTTCCTTCAATGCTAGAATCTATTCTACTAAATTTTGACTGGAGTGTATTTGTATAATACTACTAGGCCTTTATTACTGAATGATCGAGCAAGTGAAATAAAAAAGAAAGTATATATATTATTCTCAACACCTTTGTAAATGTCAAGATCTTTAATGCACATTTCGCATGCTCTTATTTTCTAATACAAATTTTAGCCTAAACTGCCTTGCATATTCTTCTTTCTTTTTCTTCAACATGAATGTAGCAAAGAGACATGAAATAGAATCATTTAAAAGGGTAAGTATACAAAATTTTTAGTTTGAGTCGCTTATTCTATATTAACTATATTAAACTATGTCTTCTAAACTATATTCAAAAATTTACAATTTTTTAGTAATTACTAAGCAAGAACACATTACTACCACTTCAGTTATCTATCAAGGAATAGAGAAGGATCCATAGATTCTGAAAGAAGAGTTAAGAGAAGTGGTTCATCAAGCAATTTTATCAGCAATGAATCTTTATATCCAAGGTTCAGAACATCAACAAAAATTTCTTGGAATATCTCTTCAGGTAAGTCCTTATGAAACAAACTTAAAAAAATATTCGTTGAATAAAATGATAATTTGTCATAGTTTTAGTACTTCCTAAATAATAAGCATAACAGTTTAAACATTCTAATAGCTTGCAATTAAGGGATAATTATTTCCCTCAGATGCATAAAGGGTGAATATACTATATTATTATGCTTTATCTACATGTAATTATTATTGTATTATGTAAAAGTTATCATCGACGTGAGAGCCTCGTAAAGATAATAATTTTTTCTATAATAGCTGATAGCGTACACGTTAATTTTAGAAAGGTGATTTTGTTTATGAAAATAATAACTTAATCTATTATTATCATAGTTTGATGTGTTCTTTAAAGATATCTGTAGCTTACGGGATATCAGAGTTATGAAAGCAAATAAAAAAAAAACTTTTATCTTAAAACAAATTGATGTAAACTTAAATAATATGAGATTAAAACTTTCAGTAAGCATTTGCAGATAATATTTTTAGGACTAAGTTCTTTATTAACTGGTTATTTTGTTATAGAGAAAATAATCCTTACTTTCTAATGAATTAATACTTGAATTGAGATCGATTACTGCTTTTAACCTTTCATAAAGAGACCCACTTGCTAGTAAAATTATTAGTGATAATTCAGGCCTAGTTCAGAACCTTTCACAGAAAATACAAAATATTTTCTTAGTAAGTACTTTATAATTTTTGAGAATTATAGCAATTAAGTTTCTAATTCAGCTCTCTTTACTAGAAACTATTGCGTTGAATAATACCTTTAAATTTAGCAATAATATGAGAAACATGTAGAAGATTTATAACAAACTTCAATAAACATTGAATGGAAAGTTTATCTGATAAACTAAAGCACAATACGTAGTTCTTAGAAAGAGTCAGTAGAGATACTCACTGGAATTGTGACTAATATTCTTAATACATTGTAAGTAATAATAAGAAAAAATATTATTATGTGTATATCACTGATTTATTATTAATAGGAGCGATGTCTGGAACAATCTAGCGTTTAGATCAGATTTTGAAGATTCGCTTAATGAAGACACTTATATGACAAATGTAATAATATCAGCAATCTGATCTATTTTTAAAAATCTTCCTTTTGGAAAGACTGCATTCATTAGTACACTCACCTAGCAAAAATGACTGACCAACAATAATTTTGCGATTAAATACCTCATTTTTAAATAAGTATATTTCGATAATTTACATATTAATT